GAAAAATCCCCTATGATTTGTTAAAAATAAAAAAGGACGAGACAGTATAAAGCTGCAGTTTTTCAGGAGTGAGGGGGGAATCGCATCAGGACCCGGTCCCTTTCTTGTATCAAATTTAGCTAACTTCTCGTAAATAGTTGAAATTGGAATATGATATGCGCATACGTTAAGTTTCGATTCAATGTTACATTCAAACAGATCGATATTCTGATTGGTGTAGACTGAAGAAAAATAGTCGGCAAATATGTTAGCTATTTCCGAGGTTTGAATAGAGTTTACATAACTTGAATAACACTCTTTGGACAAGGGTTTACAGCGAGCTCTTAGACTACTAAATAAGGCATAACTTTCAGGAGATTTCGTACTTTTAAAAATATTATGAGCAATCTTCTTATCATAAATCAACTTTCTAAGATGCGGTGGATACCAGCATGTAAAATTTTTTATTGATATTTTTTTAAGTGGAACAAATAATTCCAATGCTGAATACAGTGCCTCATAGAAAGTATTTACCGTATCAAAGAGTTCTTTATTACGAAGGAATGTGTCCCAGTCAATGGCTTCAAAATACTGGCGCATGGCAGTAAAATCGGTATTACGAAAGTCGTAGTAATATTCTTCATCGTGAGTAGTGTCGATATTTGTCTTGTATTGAAGAGTGGAATCAGAACATCGATAGCCTTGCAAACAGTAAGTTCAAATTGGGAAAGAACAAGATCAAGAATAACTCCCCTTTCGTTAACAATTTTGTTTGATTGGAAGAGGTTTTGAGAAGCACAAAGGTTTGAAATAGTCTCTATAGCCTCAGTGTCCTGAATATTCTATATAGCATTAGGACGATTGTAATCTCCAAAAAGAAAAATTTTAGAGTCTGGGTGGTGATCTTTTAATGTTTCAACTTGAACATAGTGAATATGATATGAATTGGGATGAGAAGTAGGAGGTAGATATATTGTACCCAATATTAATTTATTGTTTCCAATGGAGGCAAATAATTGTTAAATTGCTGGGTTAGATGGAATAAGGCAGCTATAAAACATTTTCTTTACTGCAATCAAGACACCCTCTTTTCTGCTTGAAGCACTCGACTCGGCTGTGCGATCTTGTTTTTGTAGTTGTAAAGACCTAGTTCAGCATTCGCAATATCAGCAAATAACCAAGTTTCAGTGAAAATAATTATATCGTAGGAACAATTTGAGATATTAAGGTAAAGTTTAGTTAATTTGGTACGCAATCCTCTAACATTCTGGTAGTACAAATAGAGCTTGTCCGAGTCCATGGGCTTTATTAGTTTTTTTGTACGATCTTAGGAACATTATTAAAATATTTTATTGTGAGATTCTGTTCACCGTTGCTTAGACGCCTGGAAAGATTATTTCTTAAATTTTCCAGAACATCCCTCTGTTTAGGAGTTTGGTTCAAGTGAATGAATATTTTTTTGTCGTCAATATTTCGCTTATTTTTATATATTTTATGAACATTGTGAGAGCTTGCTAAAATAACCTTAATAGGACGGTTTCCATTTTTATATTTCTTGCTAATTCGAAAGATCTTTGCAACTTCTATATTAACTGGTTCTCCTACAAGTTATTAACCCTTTCTAAATCGATTGAGTTGGAGTCAAATTCCGGTAAATTAAATATTAAAAGATTCTCGCATTCATGCAATTCGCTAATAATGTCTTCAGTGATGACAAAGTTTTCGCCCTTTTCATTTTTCAACTTTTCAACTTCTGTCTTTAATGTTTTAACCTCTGACTTAAGATTTTCTAATTATCTAACGAGCATAGGTACACTCTTAAATGCCAAACGACAATCCGCACAAAAATAAACCATAGTTCTTTCTTGGATAACCGCCGCTCGGAGCTCAGATGCACCCAGACCAGTGCACTCTTCGTTAGGGTGCATTGTAACATGACACCCATCACAAGAAATTATCTTCTCGCCTAATAAATCATTACAAGTTGCACACTTAATAACTATTTTAGTTTTTCGCGTATATCTCGTATCTCCTTATCTTATATCTTATCACTTATCAGCTTAGAGTGTTTGTTAAATGTTTTTGATTTACAAACCCAGAAATGCAACTTATTTATTAATCAGATTGTATGTAAAGAAATAATTGAAATACGAAAATTTATATTAGAACTGCACCGAGAAATTAGTATGTTTCACCGTTTTCAAAAATGGAAATTTTCACCCAACTTAAACTGGTTTTATAAGCAGAAAAGCACAGCACAACCACGTTTTAACAGTTGACTTGACTAGATAGAAAATCTTTTCTGCTCCTTTTCATCGTGAAATCGTTTCCATGATGATGACGAAAATATAAAAGAAGATCTTTCGGATTGTTTTTTTCCTTTTCTTTGCGGCGTATTGCCCGTATTGGGATAGTACAAGTATTGATTTAGAGTATTGCCATTACGTTGTTCTTTTTGAATAAGATTATTCTCGCTCTCCGAGGTAATTTACTCGTGATTTTTTTTGGGTATATCATTAAAATTTTTTTAGGATTATCATACACATTTTTGATACCCTTAGGTGCAATCACTCTTTTATTTTGCGACAAAGTTGATAATTTGTCTTATCAGCATTAAAAAGTCTTTCTGGGTGTTCAAGAACTTCGTCATATCCTTTTTCATTCAAATATAAAATGTATGTCGTGAAACCACTTTCTTATATCTTATTCACTAACAACGGAGGAACAGAAGATACCCCTAACAGATGTTTGAATATCTTCCTTCCTTCGAGAAAACCCCTTTCTTTGGCAATCATTTATCCAGTTAACTAATAGAGTCTCTTCCTGGCTACTTAGTATGGGTGAGGGTCCATGAGATGATTTTGTGAATTTTTTAGAGAGTCTAAATTGTAAAGTGGCCCTGGGTATCTTATATTTTTTGCATTCCGTTCGTTTGGGCATGCCATTATTGACTTCTTCAATAGCTTTATTTAAAGACTCCTCTAAATATTTTTTAGTGTACGTCTCTTGAGGAGCTGTTTTTGGCATACTAAAATTAAAAAATAACTCACTTTATAAACAAATATTGATTTATTATTATATTATTGTTTTTATATACGAATTAATATTATTGTTAATATGATTGTTTAATTAGTAGGGGATTCCTTTGACTTTTTTTACTTTGTTCATAATACGGAGTGGCACAAAAGTCTGGAAACGGCCAATTATCTCGTAAATTGCTAGTCCTAATTGTACAAAATTTGGGGTACACCTATTTTGGGATTCGGAGATTCCAGATTTAATATTTGCAATTATATTAATAGTCACTTTGGTTTTTTAAATTCATCACCCTATATATTCAGTCAATATTGGAATCTCCTATTCAATACGAGTTCAACCATATGTAACACTTATGATTTTATGTAGTCTGGAAGGTCTTAAATAAATAAAACAATCGTGGATAAATGTGGTAGACGCATTCTACCATCGATTAGGGTACTGTCAACTCACAAATGGAGCACATTTTGAACACTTGATAAAGCCATTGTGTTAAAAATGTTGTAATCTTTCAATTGTTACGTTTTAATGTCGTTAAAAATAGCTTGTATTTATTGAGGCAATTAGGCGATGCCAGACTTCTGTTTTATTTATTTAAGACCTTCCAGACTACATAAAATCATAAGTGTTACATATGGTTGAACTCGTATTAAATAGGAGATTCCAATAATAACTGAATATACAGGTTAATGAATTTGAAAAACCAAAGTGACTAATAATATAAGAAAGACGGCAAATCTGGCAACATTGCAAATATCAAATCTGGAATCTCCGTATCCCAAAATAGGTATATCCCAAATTTTGTACAATTAAGACTAGCAATTTACGAGATAATTGGCCGTTTCCAGACTTTTGGGCCACTCTGTATAATGTCTTGTAGACAGTTATTGGCCGTCCTACCCTGACAGTTATTAGCCGTGGCCGACAACTAATAGAAACCATAAAAATACAAAATTATTATTAAATTTGTGTTTTAAAATATCAGTTAATGTAAAATATTATATTTAAACTTCGTGATTTTAATCTAATCAAAAGTTACAGTCATTGACCAGGAGGCCAATAACTATGTGACAGAAAATATCATATAGACAGTAATTGGCCCTGTATAATTTTAGGTTAGAAACATTTTTTGAGCTGTTAATAGCAACAAATTTACATAAATGTATACTATTTTAACATTTAAAACGATAACATCAATTACCATTCATGTTATAGTGCGTAAAGTATAAGTTAAGGTGGTGCAGTACTTACCTGTTCCAAATTAAAATTGGCACCTCCTAAAACACGCTGTTTCGTTCGCAAACATTGTAAAAGCACTAACTAATAGGTATATTTTAGCGGGAATTCGTACTTTGCTAAAGAACAGTTCACACTATACAAAAACACAACCGTCACTTGAGACATGTTTACAAGATACAAATTTTTTGTTAAAGACATAGGCCAATCACTGTAGGGGGGGCAACAACTGTATGGTTTTCTATCTAATCTCATAATTTTGTTTTTTTTAATTCTATTTTCCTTTTTTTACAATTTTGTTCAAGATGATTTCCATGATTTTCGTTGTTATCCCCCTGTTCTCAGCGTCCCTTTATGAATTTTCTTCGTCACATATTCTAGTGAGAGTGACTGATAATCTCCTTTCTTTATTCTTTTATTAATTGTTAATTCTTCCGTTCCAGCTTTTTGTGTTTTAATGTTAATTTTTGTTTCTTGCATCGTCATTATTATTAACACGCCATAACTTTTTTGATACTCCTAATTTTTGTCGTGCCAGAGGAAGTTTTATTATTTTTATTGAGACAAAGGCTTGTTTAAAGTCAACAAAAAGCATTTTTAATTCTATTTTGGGCTCATGGGTATAAATGGTTATTAATTTCAGCAAAAGACAATAAATTCTTATTTCGTTCTACCGACTTTATCAATTCACTTGAATAAATAAAATTAAAAAAAAACGTTCTTACAATATTCGTTCTCTTTCTTTTCAGGTGCACTTATACTTCAGCGCGCTGCCAGAAGACAAAGTGCCGTACGTCAATTCCGTGGGAGAGCGGTACAGAGTGAGACAACTCCTTCAGCAGCTGCCGCCCCACGATAACGAGGTGCGCTACTGTCATGCCCTTTCCGATGAAGAGAGGAAGGAATTGCGGCTGTTTTCCGCTCAGAGGAAGAGGGAGGCTCTGGGTCGGGGGGCGGTCAGACAAGTGCCGGGGACGATGCAATGCGATGGGGTGAGTTTTTATTTTTCTTTGTTTGTCGTTTCGTGATAAATCGTAAAAATCTTGATTTTATTCTTCAACCTATACAGGGTGTCTAATTAATTAAAAAGGACCAGGTGGTTGTGGCTGTTTACACGTATCTAACATTAGCAATGAAAAACTACTTCCAGCAATTTTTTATTTGAAAAATTATTTTGTAAAGTATTTGGATGCGTTCATTTATTACGTAAGCAGGTTAAGGGACGAGAGGATTCAAGTGTTTTCGTATTTTTGCCGAAAAAGAGAGCAAGAATATTATAAATTTTACGTAAAATAAAATAATGAGAATGTCTTCAAAATATTTTTAATTTTATTTGATACTATTTTTATTATGATTATACCGAATGTCTCTTCATATTTATTTTTAGACATAAATGATTATTCTGAGAATTAACGTAACGCTGTACTAAGTAAAGTAGTCTTAGTAGTTGTAAGGGCTAGGTGTTTTTCCCTTACATTTTTAAACACATTCCTTCGGCTTTAATGGACTGCTAAGAGAAAGATCACTGGTTTTCTTGCTTTGATATAAAATACAATTTCGGCTACATTTAACTTCATTTAATATTAAAGAACTGTTTTTATCACAACAGTAAATATATTTACAATCTTAGTAAATAACATTTACTTAAAAAAGTTAACCACAGCCATGCCAGCATGGGCGAAGTTAGGGGGGGGCTTGGGGGGGCTAAGCCCCCCCAAAAACCAAATTAGCCCCCCCAAAAATAATTCGAACATTTATCGCACATCTATCCACACATTTCAGATTTCAGAACAGAAATTAATAAATAAAGAAAAATCGTGCCATTTGATTGATTCTGAAATTTTACATTTAGTTCAGGAGGCAGTGAATTTTACTCGTACTCATTTTTCCAATCGGTGTATATGAAAATAAACTGTTCTCTTAGTGACAAAAAACAAACATTTTGAGTCTGACACTTATTTTCCCAGTCATAAATATTTTACATTTACTAAACTAGAACATAAAGCTTATAAAAATAGCAGTTTGAAATATCTCAGATAGTGGAAAGTGAGTGTGGCAGAAAATTTAGCATATAAATTGATACAATCATGAACTGTTAACAATAATAAGTCTGGCTGATTTATGAAATTGGTAAATGAGTCTGGTAATATCTTCAAAATCGAAAAAATATAATATTTTTGCTTTTATTTTCCCGGGTTTGAAAATTTGTCATGTGATAGATTATATTATAATTTTACAGCTCTATTTTATAGCAGATCAAATACCGTTATTTTCAAACGCTTCCATGAAAAATTTCCGGAAATTTTTCTTTTGGTGGGTACCCTGAACGAAATTATACTGAAAATTTTTTTGACAGTTGAGAAGCTCTTTTATGCATATGTTTTATATGTTGTTCTATGGCCAGCTCTGAAAATTTCATTTTAGTCGTTTTAATGTATGTCTGTCAAGTTTTGAAATTTGGATATTTTGGTGTAAAATTTTCTTACCCAATACCTAGCACTGGTGCCTAAATTATTATCAGTAAATTTTTGCTCACTCACGCATATTTTAAGAAAAATATCAATCGTCTTCGACTCAGGATAAATTTCAAAATATTCGTAAGTTCGAAAAAATTTTCGGAAATAATTTAGGCACTAGTGGTATTCTAAGTGAAAATATAGGTCTGGCTGACAATTAAAATCACGAAGGCCTGCCAGACTCACAAGTAGTGTCCGGCCGAAGGTTCGGTTACGGTTTTGGCCAACTTCGGCTTAAAATAAGAGTTTCGACTACAGTTTCGGTTTCGGCGGAAAACTGGCCGAAACTGCAGCCAACTACGAAACTACTTTCGAAAGTGTTCGTATCACACTTGGTTGTGTCCGGCACAATGGCGACTGTGCCGGGTGCCATTCCTACACAGTGCACGTACTTCTCTGCTTTGTTTCAAGTGAACAGTCTTCAGTGCTCCTGGCCTAATTTATTCGTATCAAAGGAGCATTTTTTTAGGTGAAACGTGGAAAAAATATTATTTCTAGCCTACAACGTTAGACTGTTTACTTATGAATATTAATTTAATTATAAGCAACAAACATATTTAATTATCTGAACTTGTTTTTTTTTTTTTTTTTAATAATATATAATTCCCTTCATAATACTATTTTTTGTTACAAAAAATCTAGAGATAGATGCAGAAATGATTGCTACTTTGTAATTCACTTATTTTTTTTTAGTTTCAAAAGTAATAAAAAAAACAGTGTCAATAAATTTATTAATGGCTTCTTTGGATCACATAAATAAATAGGTAATAAGTAAATGTAGCTAAAATTTATAATACGAGTTAATTAGTCTTAAACAAAGATATTGCAAATTTCAAGAGATTGCCTTAAAAGAAAGTTCTTATTTCTGTTTCGGTTTCGACCGAAACTAAGAAAGGAGCCGAAATTGGGTTTCGGTTTCGGTTATAAAACCGTATTTCGGTCGGACCTGACAAGCCAGGTAGTTAAACGAGGAGAGGAATAGTAATCAAACGTGCATAATTTAGCGCGCCTGACGATCATTAGACAAGTCTGGCAAGGCATTCGGGGTATTCCACATTAGCCAGATTGTATTTTAAGCTGTTATCATAATATACATTTTTCTAGTACTGAGGACACTTGTAACAGGGATCCTTACTGGTCATTGCCAACTAAAAGGACACCTTAGTAAACTGAGAGTAGTAGAAAATAGTGAGTGAAGAATCTGTGAGGAGAAGGACGAAACCTTCATTTACATTTTAACTGAATGTGTAGCACTCCAGAATCCAAGGGCACTATACCTAGGAGCATATCAAATAGAAACTTGAAGCCACTCCAAATCCTACACTTCCTTGAGAAGATATAATTGAAAGGGTCATTATAGGCATTGAGACATTTCCTTGCTGCATTAGCGACACAAGGGGGCACAATATATATTTTAAGTCGAAGTGTATTAACACCCCATTCCCAACATAACATAACATAGCGAGAAAACTGCAAAATAATGAAATCCACAAATCCCAGTTCATATTTTGGACATCCAACTACTATTATTTTTAAAATTTTAAATTCTGACAAACTGTCAGTATATTTTTTAGGCATTAAAATTACATATACGTTAAAATTAGTTATTTTTGTTTAGAATCGATAAAAAATAACATTTTAATTTTATTTGGGCCACATTTAAAAAAGTAAATTTTAATCAAATTGTATGAAACTAATTTATTTACGAGTATTAAAATTAAAAACCTAAAAGTGGCGGTGGAGCTGAGGACAGAGCATTTGCCTTCCACGCGAATAGCCTGGGTTCGAATCTGGACTATCGGGGCTAAATTTTTTTATGTTTTTTATTTTATAAATTAATAAAATTTATAAATTATTTTAAAATGGCTTATTTTGTCTAAATCTAAAATAATTTTTTAAATTTGTAGATTTTTGTTAGTAGTTCGTAGAAAAAATATACTGCACAACTCGAGTGGATTGTCCATATCTACTCTTGTTGCGAAAATTAGGGAAATTTTTGTGATGAAAATTATTGTGATGAAAATTATTTAGTTTTTTCACTTATATATGATATTTTATTCATTTTCATAGATTCGCCAGAATGTTTTTACTTAACTTCAGTATACCTCTAGAACTATTATATATTATATGACTAGGGTTAGGGCTTTAGCCCCCCCAGATCTGATGACATAACTTCGCCCATGCATGCCAGTGTGTATTTTTAAATTTTTAAGCAAAGTTACAACATGGCAACCTGATGCCTAGTTAAAAGAATAGATTGAGTGAAAAGTAGCTTTAGAAATGTGCCGGTGACGCGAAGCCCTGCTCAGTGAAATCTTCACATCACTTGGGTTTCTAACCAATCGCCTGTAAGAAGACGTCCACATAATAGCTGTCTATTGGCCACTTGTCCTGTAACGAGAATAACGTAACATCTTAGAGAAATTGTACACATGCCAGTGTCGGCTTTAGGTGTTTTATGTATTTTAATTTAAATATATTTTGTTCTGTGTTTTAATTTAAATATGTGTTGTTCAATTCGGGGAACCACAGACGTACTAAAACAGTAAACAAATTTAAACAAGTAAATTTGAATTTTGATTCTTAACAAAAGTTTTGGATATAACATACTCATCTATACAAATAGCAGATAAGCACTACTCACCCTGGACAGACCACTAATTTACTCATTTCTTCATTATGTTGCAACTAAAATTACTCAGGGTTAAAATCTTGGTCCTCTTTTATTTAACATTTTTATAAACGATATATAAACAAATGTCTTGCTATATGCAGGTAAGTAAATATTTCGTAAAATAGACGATATTAACGTGCAAAAAAAATTCTAAAAAGTTTTTTATTAGCATTGTATTGCACCTAATTTTCGTCGATCTATTAGCAATTGTAACAACATAAATTAACTAAAAGTTTAAAACTCTGAACTTTATTTGTGCTCTTATATTCTTTCACTGTACTACTGTGAGCTGCTTTTTAAATATTTTCACATTTAACTCACACAAGATCTGAAGGTTTTGTCCTTTTCAGTCTCCTTTCTACTTCATTCTCCTCAGGGATCTGAAGCTTGTCGATTGTTGACATACGAAGTCTGGATTCGTGTTGTTTGATATATCTTTAGATTTTTTATTTAGCGGTCTGTATCTTGAGGCCTCTGCATTATTATGTATTCCGAATGTATCAGGGAACATATACAATATTTCTGAGAGAATAGTAGACATAATCCTAAGTCATTTTGGGCAGACCATCCGTTGTCGTATACTATACATGATAAAAAAAAACAAAAATCTTCTATAAGGCGAGCCTGGGGTAAGTTTGGAGGGTTAACGGTTTTCGGCACGTATGAAATTTTACGTCAATCGGTTTCGTTTCTCGTTAGGAAGATATAGCGTCTGATATTTCAATTTTTCGTCTCTACCATGACTAACAAATGGCCTTGCTAAACTCTTTGAAGATATAGCACAACATCCCAAATTAAAAAT